ATATATATATATATATAAAATAAGTCAGATTAATCTTTATCTCTCTGAAGCTTCACCATCTGTGTCTGAATAAGTAACTCACTGAATCATTCCACATTTTTTCCTTGCTAAGAACCTTTGTTCTGGTACCAGACAATCACGTGTCTCATAGGCTAGGCCCTTTCCCAGATCCTGGGGGTGACTCATGGGTCTATGTCAGTCACAGCAGCAGTCCTCCCTCCTACAGGGATTTGTTTAGGTGTGCTGATCTGGGTCAATGAAATATGAGTGAAAGACAGTGGAGGCTTCTGGAAAGGTTTTCTTTTTTTGACTCAAAAAGCAAACAGAAGGAAACACTCTCCTTTTTTGACACCTAGTGGTTGCCACCTGCATGCTCTGGTGTTACAGCTATATCATAGGCATAGCAGCTATGACATCAGGAGATGATAAGCAATGTGGTTTTGACCTCTGACTCCAGTTCCTGAACCAGAGCTCCTAAAACCCTTGTAGATATGAGTACTAGGAGAACACTTTGTTTTACTGTTTGGTCTTTAACCCCAGTTTCTAACACAGACCTCCTAAAGACCTGTGTAATTTCCTGAATGATAGGAGTGTCTGACACAGAACTCCTATATCCCTTGGGATTTTCTGGGTGCTAGGAACACCTTTTGTTTTAAAGAGACAACTCTTGGCAAGCCCCTCGGTAGCTCCAGGATGGGGGCTGGTTGCCTCAAAATAAAAAGGAAGTGATTAGATTCAGCTTTGAAGAGAAAATGGCTGAAGACTGAGTTGGTCACCAATGGCCAATTCTGTAATCAATCATGCTTTTTATATGAAGCCTCCTTAAAAAAGGGAGTGGGGACAGGGTTTGGAGAGATTCTGAGCTGCAGAACACCCACAGGTGCTTAGAGGTGATATACCCAGTTCTGTATATGGAACTGTGCACCCATTCCCACACATCTCACTGTATATATCTCTTCCATCTGGTTGCTCATCTGCATCTCCTTTAATATTCTTTATAATAAATGGGTAAGCGTAAGTAAAATATTTTCTTGAGTTCTTTTAGCCACTCTAGCCAATTAATTTAACCCAGGGAAGGGGTTGTGGGATCCTTTGGTTTATAGCCGGACAGTCAGAAGTATGGGTCACAACTTGTGGTTTGTGATTGACATCTGAAGAAGGAGTGGTCTGGTGGGACTGAACTCTTATCCTATGGGAGTCACACACTATCTATGGGTTGACAGGGAGTAGGAAAAAAAACCAAACTTCTTTTCTCTGTTCTCACACCACAGCAAACAGCACAGAAGATTTCTGTGACCTCAAGAAATTGTGAAGATTTCTCTCCAGTAGCAAACAAACAATCAAGTAGCATCAGACCCTATTGGGGCTTCAATCTCCCAAGACTTCCCCTCATCTCGGGTCCCCTTCAAAACCCCAAGTTGTTTTATCTGTGCTTCTGACCCACTAGATATAAACCAGGGATCCCACAACTACTGCTTCAACTTCAATGACGTGGTATAAGCAGCTCACAGGATTCAGAGGCACACTGACTTATTAGTTTACTGACTTATTATGAAGGCTATTACAAACAGTCAGATGAAAAGATGCATAGGGTGAGGAATGGGGTAAGGAACGTGAATCTTGTGGGCCCTTTCAAGTTGCCCCACTCCAGGAAGTACCATGCGTCCCCAGCTATCCGGAAGCACTCTGAAGCCTGTCCTTGGGCTTTCAATGGAGTCTCCATTGCACATCTAAAATGCCAGCAGACTGGTTGGGGGAACCCAGCAAGGTCTGACTGTCCGGATTCTTCTTGGCCTCTCTGTGCAGAATTCCTTCCTCCCAGGCAAGGAATGGGGGTCTTGTGATCTATGATGAGACAAAGTATGTCAAATAATTTCTTACAGTTAGTGCTTCTATAACCCACTTCAGAGAGGAGAAATTCTAGGGGAAATCCCTGTCTTGGAGAAGGAGTTTATGAGCTAAGAACTATGAAGAAAAACCAAGATATATCATTATAATTATTATTGACATATGTCTGTCAGGTACATGACATTACTATTATTATTGGGACAAAGTGATATCACAGAGAGCATCAGCGTTGAATTGAACAGAGGACACCCAGTTGGTGTCCCCAGAGAATGGGTTGTTGGTAGGGAGAAATCCCCAAACCCAGATGTCCCATCAATGGATGAATAGATAAAGAAAATGTGGTGTATATACACAATGGAGTTTTATTCAGCCATAAAAAAAATGAAATATGGATGAATGGAGGGAACCAGAGACCATTATGTTAAGCAAAATAAGTCAAACTCAGAAGGTTAAGCATCCTATATTTTCTCTCATTTGCAGAAACTAGAGATAAAAAAGGAAAAGAAAGGTAGGGGTGGATCTCCTAAAAATCAAAAGGACCAATGGGTGGGAATCAGGGACGGAGTGGGGAGTGTTATTGGCCAAATTAAACTGTTATATTGTGTGCATGTACAAATATGTAACAACAAATCCCACCAATTTGTACAACTATAATGCACCAATAAAAAATGTGGACAAAAAAAAAGAAATGAATTGTTCTGTATTGTATATCAGAGGAGGAAAAACAGCTTGGTTTTTCCTATCTCTTTCAGTTGAAAGGTTTTCTTTACTGATTAAATGAGCCACCCAGAAGAAAACATTCTCCTCATTTTTCATCTCACGGATGTCGCCTACATGCTACAGTATTATGACTGTATTACAGATAGAGCAGCCATAATATAATAATATCGTAATAATATGATGTCTAGAAGAGTGAAAAACCATCTTGAGACAATATATAGAGTTAATTTAAAGGAAAGAAATGTGAAAAAAATAGCTCGAGTTCTTGATGACATCCTTGAGTGTGTGTAAATTAACTAACCCTGGAATATTCTATTCCCGGACTACTTTTTATCTGGAAATTCAGGGTGTTTCTCAACAAATCAAGATCCAAAACATCCTGACGTGACCTAAGTTATAGCACAGCCATTTCTCAAGCCTACAGCCTTAAAGTGGTCCTGACCACCCCCCTCTCTTTCATCTCACACCAAATACTGGTCCATCCCTTCTCCCAGATTTGCATTTTTCAATTCCACCTACTTTTTTCTCTCTCTCTTCAACGCCCACCCTGATCCAAGCTACTACCATCCTTCTCCTGGGCCGCTGCAGTGGCCTCCTGGCTGAACTTGATCTCTATTTTCAGTTATCCATTATCCATTGAGGAAAAATCCTTTCTTCTTGGGTGAAGGTAAGGGTATCCTCGACTCTAGGTTCACTCTGAAGGGCAGGGGATTTGAAAAGTCGAGGCCAAACTGGAGAAAGGGAAATGAAGATGGAATAGATGAATCCCAGCAGCAATTTTGTTCCAAATTCCATTGATCTTTTCCCTTCCTTTTGTTCATTCAGTTACATGAGAAAAAAAAAAAAAAACAATCTCTTGCTTTCCTGAAATGAATCAAATTAGAGTCCTCTCACTTGTCACTAAAAGAATGCTGAATACTATAGACCGTAATAGACTCCGAAGAAAGTTCCAACACTGAAATTTCAGATGGGAACCAGTTTCTGGACTGAGTCCCTCCCCCCATTCTCCTATTAGCATCAAGTCAAGTGGTGGGGAAAATGCCTTTCAACATCTGGAGAAGGGAAATAGCAACCATGGATGCTCAGATCTGCCAGAAAATTCCAAGGAGAGCAGTAAGCCCATAGAGTCCTTTGTATCCCCTCTGGGGTCTACTCTAGTATTTGAGCTGAGGCCACATTCATCTCAAGCAGCTCCACACAATGACTTTATGGCAAGGAAACCTGGACATTTCTGCCCGAACTCAGAATCCCTCTATTACCCTGGAGTCCCCACTCTGATGGCAGACATTTTCAGGGTTACACCAGAGACTGAGTCTACTGTGAGACTGTTCCAGCGACCGCCCTCCCAGATCCAACACCTTCTGTTCTTGTTTCACTGTGACATTCACCTAACTGTTTGTCCCTTACTGACAGACACCCCTACTCCGCCCACTTGTAAACTCTCAAGTCTTGCTTGACAAAATGAAGAGGATATGATTTGGGAGCTGGTTAGACCTGAGCTTGTGTTCTTGCACTGTGCTACTTGGCTATCTGCCTTCCAAGTCTGTTGAGGGGATTCCGTGAAATGCAATGGGTCACGTGACCAACACATTCATAGCATACGGGAGGCATTCCTTAAATCTCAGTATCTTGTATTTTTCTTTCCTCTTTCCCCTCTAAGGGGAAATACCTGGTGGTCACTCCCTGACCTTATCGTCACAATCACCATTCTTTGCACTTGTCTGAGCCCTCATACAATGCCACCACTCCCAGCCCATACCACCACCTTCCACCCACACACACTCCCACCACACCCACAACTGGAGTCCTACAATTCCCCACCTGTCTCTCAGCCAGGATGCTCCATTCTTCCCCCTCCAAAATGAGGATACTAGAGTAACACCATAATTAATGATGTACTACTAATTATATAATGGATCCAATGGTGTGTTACAGTCTGCTCACACTGACTTGCAAGAATCAATTCTTAAATTTTCAGGAATTATGCTGACTGTTGTTAAATAAAGTCATTAAGAATTAAACTATATAACTGGGTGGCCCACGCCTATAACCCCCTCAGGAGGCTGAGGCAGGAGGATCGCAAGTTCAAATTCAGCCTCGGCAACTTATTGAGGCTCAAGCAACTCAGTGAGATTCTGTCTCAAAATAAAATATAAAAACAGCTGGAGATGTGGCTCAGTAGTTAAGCGCCCCTGGCTTCAATCCCTTTTACCAAAAAAGAAAATCCAATGAATACTCTTGGAGAGAATGGGGGCCTCCAAAGCACATGCTGGGAAACATTGCTCTATAGTGATTCTGCATTGGAATGGACTGACTCAAAAAAAAAAATCTCACCTGGGTTAAGTACAGTGGATTTGACAGAAGGATGACAATTTAGGATTGATCATGTCATAGCAGGTGCTGCTCAGAGGAATCTTTGAGAAAGATGGAGTGACAACCATTTGGTGTGGATTTAAAAATGAGATTTTTGTAAAGTGATACAGTGGTGCTTAGCACATTAATCAAATGTAGATATTTTTATAGGATTTCTCTAGACTAAGTTTTTTAATACAAATAATTGGCATTTGTGAGCAACTGATATTTTGGAATATATCTTATGAATCTTTACCTTATTTTTTCATAATGCTAATAATAACTAACTGTAAAATCCTGCAGCTACAAAGCCCTAGTCTTCTGTTAGGTTCTGTGGACTAAGAAATATTATTTCATTTGAATAAAATTCTTTTTGGATGGAAACAACCTTGTAGCCTATAAACTGATCCAATCCATTAATATGTATACATTAGCACAATAGTTTCCCTGAAATTTAATTTCATACAGGTGGGAAAAGAAAACTATTACTTCATTGTCCAAAATGAGACTATAAAAATCCCTTTCTTTCCTTTATCTACCTGATATCTAAAAGTCAGGTCATATTTTAAAAGTATTTTAGTTTTTCTCTTGCTAAGAATGATATTCCTATGTTCAACATTTCCAATAAGCCATGTCAGATACAAAGTATTTTTTCAATTCTTGTTATCAGACTCTAATAAATTTATGGAGAAGTAAAAAAAAAAATGAGCCAGAGCAGTGGTACATACCTGTAATCCCAGCAACTCTGGAGGCTGAGGCAGGAGGAGCAAGTTCAAAGCCAGCCTCAGCAACTTAGTGAGACCCTGTCTCAAAATGAATAAGTTAAAAGGCTGGGGGTGTGGCTCTGTGGTTAAGTGCCCCTGTGTTCAATCCCCAGTATCAAAAAAATGAAAAATAAAAATAAAGGAGAATGAAATGGGATGAAATAGCTATATTTGAATGGGTTAGGAAGCCAGGTTTCAACCTTACTATGTTATAACAGGGGCATCTCTACTTTCTTATCACAAAGTTTTCCCCTCCAAGCCTCACAAAGAGTCCCATTTTTCTTCCTGTTATCCCCCTTTGAGGATGATATATCACAGTTCCAAACGAGGGCATATCATCTTGAGGCATGCATTCAGCAGTGTGTGTGTGTGTGTGTGTCCACGTGCACACGCGCATGCACACATGTGCTGGGGGTTCAGATCTTCATGGCCTGTGTCACCCCATAAGTAACTTAAAATATAATTTTTATTAAAATAAACATAGGCATATGATCACATACAATGAAGAAGTTCTATGAATTCTTCAGATTAAATATGGGACTCAAAATGTCTCCACTTTAGCAGACCAATTTCCCCAGGACATACAACAAATGATAGGAATTATTAGGGGAGCCTAAGGCTAGTAGTCAAATTACCAGAGAAAAGGACTTAGAAAAATCACAAAGCTTTGAAGTCTCAAAACCAAAAGATAAAGTTTGGCATGATATTCTTTAACCAAAGCAAATCATCCAAGGGTAAGATGGCCCATCATTTTTCTGGTAATCGATAAGCAGAAAAAGAGATTAGGGATATTACAAGAAAACCTCAAAACATGTGGGATATATATAAATATACAGCATTTTATATAAAGTATTATTATAAATAATTTTATATAAAGTATTTTTATATAAAGTATTATTATATATGCATTTTCTATTGTAAATATATATTCCATACATACACATTTTACATAATATATATATATATATTATATAAGTAATTGATTAGTAAGGGTGCACAAACTGAAAATTTATTTATTCATTAACAAATACTTATTGAGTCCCCACCATGTGGTATGTTCTGGTCTATGTGATGGCAACAGCAGTAAGTAAAACAGCCCTTTCTCTATGTGGTTTACATTCTAGTGGAAGAGATACATAATCAATAAACAAAGAAACATAT